TTAAATACCAGAGACCTTTGTCCCTAGCATAACTACTGGGTAAGGGAGGAAGGAACCCAGGAGCCAGTCCTGGGACAAAGAGAGGTAATGCCTGGGTAGCTGGGTGTGAGTGAAGGACCATTTTCTGATAAGAAGAGAAGCCCCGGTGCAAGTGAATAACCCAGTCCCCAAATAACCTTCCTTGCTCTAATCAAACTTTTGTTTTTGGGAGGGGAGCATAGAGGTTTCCCAGAAATTCAAGGTTATAAGGAAGCAAATGGGTAAGGGCCAAAAGTAGGGATCTATATAGCCCCCTGCCTCTGGGCTGGACAATCAATCAACAAGCATTTACTAAGGATCTACTATGGGCCAGGCACTATTTGGGGGGGGGGGCAGGTCAAGAGTTGGCATTCTCTGACCTTAAAGAGTTTCATGCAATAGTGAGAGGCAACATGGATATTTATAGGCATATACAAGAAACATACAAAGTAGATATGAGGGAACCCAAATTGGGGGTTGGCGGTATAGGAAGTGTCCTGAGCCAAGAGCTCTCCTGGGAAGGAGAATCTCAGACTTGCTTTCCAAGGTCCCAAACCTCTCACGGTCCGTAAATCCTCCCCTGAGTGTCCACTCTGTCTTTCTTGTTGGTTCATTGAATCATAGAATATGAGATTTGGGAGGGACCCTGAAGAGACCTTCCAGTTCGAACTTCTCTTTTAACCAATGGGAAATTGAGGCACAGAGAAATGGAAAAAACCTTCCCCTGCTCACACGATGTGGCAGAGACAGTACTAAAATCAATGTTTGTAAACTGACCCCCTTCTGTTTCCAGATGCCTCTTTTGGGGTATCTTTGGGTATTGTGATCTTGGGTAGCTTTTTATTTTATTTATCCATCAGCCAGGGCCTTTCCCCGGCTCCTCTCAACTGCCCCCTATCTCTAGTCTCAGTATTGTGTCAGGGGCAATTACTATCAGGTTGACTTAGGGTCAAGTATGAGACATCATTTCAAGTTACAAAAAGTATCTGCTTCTCCTCCCAGTGTCTGATTCAGCAGAGACCTTCTCTCATTGTGGATTCCATCTGGATCTCACTCTGGTTAGCCCTTTTCTTCAGAGAGGTCCTTCCTCAGAGTTGACAGACTGTCTTCATCATGGCCCTCTCACTATCTGATTCCCCCAGCCCAAATGCCATCATCTTGCCACAGCCTCTGGGAACGTCCCATCCCTGAAGCATTAGCCATCTCATCCCTCTTCCCCAAGTGCAACTGGGACAGGGATAGAGACAGATGCGGTGAAAAACAGACAGTTGGACATAGGGACAGGAATGGAAAAAGTAAGAGACAGGAATAGAGACAAAGAAAAGGAGCAGAAAGAGACTGAGAAATAACTAATCATGAGGAACGATTGGCCCTACCAGCTCCATCATGGAGATAATCAAGGCTGACTTTTTAGAAGGACTATCCCAGGATTCACTTAGCTCTGGCTCTGAAGTGGAAAGTTGAATTGCATGGGGACTTTCCCTTATGTGTTCAACTCAGCATAGGGGCATGGAGGAAGAGCTGTAGAGCTGAAGGATCGATGCTGATCCTTGTTGGACTGGTAATAGGAGTTGCTCTACCTGCCTCATCAGTGTAAGGCTACTCCCTTCTTCTAAATCCCATTTCCTTTGCCTCACACCTTGACCCTGTCTTAGTCCAAGACTTTGGTGATGGTGGTACACTGGGGTCGGTGGGCAGAGAATGGTTGGAGTCAAAGGACCTGGGTACGAATCCCAGATCTGCCACTTACTGTCTCTGTGATTTTGGGCCAGTCACTTAAACTCTTTGAGCCTCAGTTTCCACACTTGTAAAATGATGGGGTTGGACTCTAAGATCCTTTCCACATCTAAATCCATGATCCTGTGATCTCCTTTGATCCTCACATTACTCTCTGAAGGTCCTCCCTCCCCATTTTATAAATGAGGAAATCCAGGATCTGTGATTTGCCTATCATTGCACAGGTTGTAAGTAGCAGACTTAGGAGGACTCCTAACTCCAAATCCAAAACCCTTTCCTCTTCAGGGTGCTTCTTCCAGCCCATTCTGGGAATGTTGAGAGTTGAGAATGTTGATGATGACAATGACAGTGATTTAAATAAATAGCTCCCATTTCTAGAGGGCTTTCCTCACAACAGTTCTAGAAAATTTGTAAGGTAAATATTATTATTATTTTATCATTTTTATTTATTTAATATGATTTATTTATTATTTTATTATTTAACAGATGAGAAAACTAAGACACAAAGGCATTTAAATAACTTGCCCAGACTCACACATCTAATGTCAGAGCAGGGATTTAAACCCTGTGATATGACTATAAGACCAGTGCTGTCAGATGACTACAAAGGTCATCCTGTCTAGTCCTCTGCCTCCAAACAAGAGTATGCCTCTCTTGAGACAGTCCTTTCAGGAATCTTCTTGATCTCTACTAGAGATAGAGATCCTTGGAGAAAAGTAAGTCAGTGATTCTCATTAAAAGTCTCCATGGACAAAAGAGGCTGAAAGATCAAGTCACCCCATTTCTTAATGGATTATCTCATTGGGAATAGCCTATGGGATCTACATCCCATACATAGTACTGACCGAGGAAAAGTTGTAGTCAAAGAAACCCTAGCCCCCAGATTGGTCACTTACAAAATTGCACACACAGTCCAGGTCAGAGCTGTTATCCTTGCACATAGAGCAGGGATGTTCAAGGTGGGGTGGGGGGTATGAATGAAGTGGGAAGGTGTGGCATTCCCTGTAAACTCTTGCTGAGATGTAAAGCTGCAGTTGCTAGGAGAGAGCTGAAGGGAGGTGAGGAAGCCAGAGTGCATTCCAACAGGACAGATCAAAAGGAAAAGAGAAAATGAAAAAGAAAGAGGAAGGAGAAACAAACAGGGTGGGACCTTGAGGTTCCAGGGCAGCCCAATCCTCAGGAAAAGTCAGATTCCAGACCTTTTCCAAGAGGAGCACATATTTACCCTGGGATAGGCACTATTACCCTCAAAGTTTTCCAGCTATGCTTTTCTCCTTCAGTGGCAAGTTGGGTAAAGGGAACAGGGTAGGAGAGATGGGGAAAACCCTGCTTTGAGGTCCTTTTCCCAGAGGCCCTGAGCCCCTGCACAGCCTAACCTACTCAGAGTTGATCTAATTGAATCAGAGTAGGCATTCCCTTCCATCTCTGGGTTTCTGACCTTCCCTGTCTGAGGCAGATTGGCCCTAGAGGTTTATGACTACATATAAAGTTTGAGTCCTGTGAGGCAGATTGGCCCTAGGGGTTTATGAGTACAAGTAAAATTTGAGTCCTGTTCTCCATGCCCACCTCAGGTTCCCACCTCACCCCCATTCCCCAAAACAATTGGGATAATACCTGGGCCTTCCTTAACCTTCTTGCTATGTCCCTAAGCTGGGGCCTCTGGCTGGTCCAGTGGCCTAAACATGGGCTTGGACACACCTGTCTGATGCCATTCATTCTTAGAGCAGTATTTTGGCTTCTTTTAGTTTGAGTTCAATCAATCAATTCAACATAAACATATTTGCTGTGTGTCTAGTTCCTCAACATAGGCACTCAGGGAGATGCAAGAAAATAAAATACAGAAGTATGGTGAAAGCTCAGGGAGAAGAGTCCTTGGTCATGTCACTTCCTCTCTCTGAGTCTCAGTTATCCTACTTGTAAAATAACTGGGCTGCTCTCCAAGGTTCCTTTCAGTTCTTACATTCCATGATTTTGTAATTCTCAGCTCACCGTGAACTGGATTCATCAGGGAGGATTCATGGAGGAGGTGGGATTTGAAGGATGGACAAAAATCCCTCCTAGCACAAAATTGGGATAAAATCTCCACCTTTCTTGCCTCTGCTTCTCCTCCCAGAATCACTGTAATTAAGTTTGAATTCTATTGATCAGTTTAGGGGTTGTGGGGTGGGAGGGAGGAACCACCAGCCAGGAAGGCTGGAGTACTTATTTCTGAGACTTAGGTGGTGGATTCAGGAATCTTTTGGCAGCTAGGAGGAGAGAGGAACAATGAGCGGAGAACTTTGATCCCTCTTCATTCCCTCCCTATATTCTCAAAACTGAGATAAGACCGCTTCCTCCAATCCTCAAGCTGAGGGGAATAGATTGTCCCCCACCGAGGGAGTGTCTGGGGGCAGGGAATGGGAATGGGGATGGAGATGGGATGGAGAGAGAGAGAGAGAGAGAGAGAATCTTTCCATAGTGGGAGTGGAGGTAGGCTGTGGGCCAAGAAACATCCCTTCCTCATGGTTCACTCTTCAGTTCCAAATCTCTGTACTGTTGGTGAGAGGGAGAATGATTAGTAAGAGAGTCACAGAGAGACTGAGGACGGGGGGGGGGGGGGGGGGGGGGGGGGGGGGGGGGGGGGGGGGGAGGGGGAGGGCACATAGACAAACACATTCAAGGAAAAAGACAGACACAGGGAGAAAGATCACTATGTCCCCCGCAGCTGTATGATGCCATGATTTGAAGACCGGACAGAGGAAAAAGGAGGGGAAAGAACATACACACAGCTAGAAAAACAGTGACAGAAACAAAAACATGGAGGGGAATGGGTAAGGATAGACTTAACAGAGACACATAGAGACTGAGACTCCGAGGTGGGCAGGAGTGAAAGTCAGAAGACTTCTTAAGAGACTGAGACAGGAGATAGAGGACTCAACCTTATTTGCGGAGGAGCTAGATACTCTCTACCCTTACACACACACACACACACACACACACACGAAACACAGCCTATGGGGCGAGGCGGCAGCAGAGTTGCAGTTTGGGGGGCCGAGGGAAAGGAGGGGCCAGGAGGGAGAGAGGGAAGGAGGGAGACCTCGGCTGAGGAACGGGAGAAGGAGGGGAGGGGCGCGGTGAGCGGCGGGCTCCAGGCCGGCCTCGGAGGCGGCCCTTGGAGGCTCTGGGCGGAACTGGGCGGGTCGCCGGGGTTCCCAGCACCTGGGTGAGGTCTCGGCCGCCCCGCCCCCCACTCCGCACTTCCTTGTGTGACGGTACCCGGAGCCAGAGGAGACCGGAGCGGCGGTGTCCGGGCCCCGGAACCGAGCGAGAGAGGGAGCTCCCCCGGCCCCAGAGCAGAGGGATCCTGGGGCTGTGAGATCCTCCCTACAGAAGCGAAGAGATACCCCTTCACCACCCGAGAGATCCACTCCCCCGCCCCTCTCCCCTCCTCCCCGGAGCCAGAGCCGAGAGACGCCTGGGCCAAAAGATAGCCTGCTGCCCCTCCGTCCAGCAGAACCGAGGCACTCTACGAGGGAAGAGACTCCTTGGACTGAGTGATCCCCCCACTCCAGGGGCGGAAAGACCCCAGGGACCTAGAGGTTCTCGTCCGCCCCCCAATTCCCAGGGCGGAGAGACCCCAGACTACTGGGCGATCCCTCCGCCCCCAGGGCTAAGGCACTCTGGGGACCTAGCGATCCCCCCCCCCCCCCCAGGCCGAGACGCCCCAGAAACCCAGCGATCTCCACCCCTACGGGCGGAGCAAGCTCCTGGACTGAGACTCCCTCCGACCTCCTGAGCGCCAAGTTCCAGAGGACAGAGATTCCCGCCCCCCTCCTGGAGCGCCGAGACGCACCCTAGGGGCCTCGACACTCCCCAAAGCCGAGAGCCAGAGATTTCTCCCTCTCGATCCCCCCCCCCCCCCCCCCCCCTCTGGAGCGCGCAGAGCCTAGAGGCTGCGAGACTCCCCTGGAACTAAGAGACAGATTCCCCCCCCACCCTCCACCCCCACCCCCACCGCCTTCTCTCCACCCCCGGAACTAAGAGAAGAGACTCTCCACCCCCTATCCTCCTCCATCCCCTCCCGCCCAGTCCCAGATCGTGAGGGGGCCGTGAGAACGGTCAGCAGAGAACCACACACACACACACACACACACACACACACCTGAGACCACCCCCGGTCCCAGAGCAGAGAGCTCTCCCAGACCGCTTCGGCCCGCGTTGACCGGGATACACCCTCGCAGACGAGGAAGGCTACCGGGCCTGGAGAGACCCCTTGCTCAGGAGAGGCAACCCTCCTTTCTTGGCTACCGGAAGGTGAGGAGGTAGGAGGGAACTGGGAGAGGGGCTAAGAACCCCTCACCCGTCGGGATTGGGGATTGGGAGAGGAACCCGGGTCTTTTCAGGGCAGTCAGGGCTACCAGTCTCCTGGCTCTGGACTTTGGGAGTTTCGGGTCCCTTCTGAAGCTGAACTAAGTGAAAACTATGGCCGATGGCCCCTTCTGCTGCCTTGCCTTCGCAGTGAGCATTCTTCAGGCTTTCTCATTTGTCAGGAGTCTCCTTGCGTCTCTGTCACTCTTCTCTTGATCGAGGAAGACTTCTGTCTCTCTCTCCAGGAGCTTGATAACTCCTTTATCGGGCATTTTCCACCCCCTTCCCCATTTATCATCTTCCATGCATGCATGTCTTCTCATCCATAATCCCCTCATTCATTTCACCCCAAACTCATCATCTCCCCCATCATTGTCTGCAAAAAGCATCATCCCTGTTCATTTTCTCCTGTTGTCCCCCACCCAACGTCCCCTATTCTATCATCCCAGTATTTTCCCTCATTCATTGTCATCTAGTCTTTAATCCTCTTTCCACTTACCTCTATCCATCATCCCACATTCATTATCCTCCATTTGTCATCTCCACATCCATTGATCCCCTCACTTATGCCCCCTTATCCATTGCCTTCTCATTGTCAACCATTCGTGTTTTTCCTGCCATACTGGTTCATTTGTTGCTTGGTCTTACCTTGTCCCACCCACCACTCTGTCCCCCTTATCCCCTTGGGCTTCTCTTCCTTTGCCCCCTCTTTTGTGTTCCCACCCTTCCTCCAATATCCCCTCCATCCTAGTACCTCTCCTTCTGCCCTTCTTCCAGCTATATAATGTTCTTCTTATCCTATATCTGACTCCTTTTCCTGTCAAGACAAAGGAGGAGAGCTTTAATTTGGGAAAGTGACTACCTGCTTTCTACATCTCTTATCCTCTTGCGCCTGAGGTCTCTTTCTTCCTTCTTCCAATTTTTTCTCCTTTCTGTGCCCTAGACTCTTTCTCTGTCCCTGTCTCTTATCTTCCTATTGCCACCTTTCCTGAACAGCTGTACCCCCTATTTCAGCTGGACCAGTAGATCTGGGGCTCATCCTGGACCTCTGGAAGGGAAGTCTGGACACTTCTTGGTTTGATGAATTTTCTGTCTATGTGTTGGGGGGAAGGGTGTAGAGAATGAACCCATCTACTCCCACACATGGAAGTCATCATCATGCATGATCCCTTGCATTTCTAAGTTTTGGTGGGAAGTGGAGAAAAAGGGTCAGTCCTTATCTGACCATTTTTTCTCCCTCCCTCCCATGACTGGCAGCAATGGGAAAGATTTATGGCTAGGGAATTTCTCACCACCATCTAGGTGAATTTTCTTGGGGGTTCTCCCTGTATAGTTTCTTTATGTGTGTCCATCTAGCTCTCGGTAGAGTCTGCATTTTTCTGTGTCTGTGTTCTTTCTGTTCCTGCGTGACTACTGTCACTCTGTCCTACATGTCTCTGTGCCTGTTCCATGTCCCATCTCTTTGTGCCCCAGTTGTGCCCTGTGTCCAGTGTGACTGAGTTTCCTCTGTCTATGTCTATGTCTGTCTCTTGTCTCTGAATCTTGCTGGAAATTTAGGTATCGGGGCAATTTATCCATGTAGACATTACATGGTGAATTTATACATGTATCCACCTGACTCTTTGTGTGTGTGTGTGTGTGTGTGTGTGTGTGTGTGGTTTCCTTTTTTTCCCAACGTATCCCCAGACATGCTGTAGCAACCTGTGACCAGGTCACTGAGAGGTGGAGACCCAGGTCATTTGGGCTTCCTTGTGGTAGGCGTAGTTTGAACCAGAGTGCCTGCTGACAGGCCAGCAGAGGGCGAATATGTGACTGAATGTGTGGGAGGCAGTGAATATGAATGTGACTGTGCGTGATTGAGTGACTGTTACTGTGTGGGTATGTCTGGTTGTGTGTGTGAGTGTGCATGACTGTGCAAATACCTGCTGTATTAGTGTATGAGACTTACTCTCTGTGAGAGTGTGACTCCACGCTTTATTCTGGGATTGTGTGCGTGCGTGCATGCGTGCGCGCGCTTGTGTGTGTGTGTGTGTGTGTGTGTGTGTGTGTGTGTGTCTTTGCATTTCTGTGTGTTCACAATGCTTGGAGAAAGTGGCTTCTCGGGTGGAGATTTGAGTACCCTAGCTATGGCCTCTGACCTGTATTGAAAGGAAGGTTTAGGAAAGACTTGGGGTTAGTCTCTCAGTAATATGATCACACAGTTCAATGAGCATTAAACATGGTGTAGAGGAGAGCGGGCCTCAGACTCAGGTTCACATCTTGCCCTATCTCCCTGTCACTCCATCCTACGTGTCTCTGTGCCTGTTCCACATCCCATCTCTTCGTGCCCCAATTCCCTGTGTCCAGTGTGACTGAGTATCCTCTGTCTGTGTCTATCTTCTGTCTCTGTGAATCCTTCAAGGCCCAGCTACAATCCCACCTTTTACTGGAAATCTTTCCTACTCCCTCTTAATTCCAGCACCTCCCCTCTCTTGATTATTTCCTATTCCTGTTTCTATGTATTTGCTTGCATGTTGTCTCTCATATTAGATTATGAGCTTTCTCAGAGTTGCTGTGATTGGTCACTGTGTCCAATTCTTTGTGACCTCATTCGGGGTTTTCTTGGCAAAAATACTGGAATGTTTTCCATTTCCTTCTCCAGCTCATTTTACAAATGAGGGAACTGAGGCTAACAGGTTCAAGTGACTTGCCCAGAATGTCTGAGGCCTATTTGAACTCAGTTTTCCTGACCCCAGGCTCTGTGCTCTATCCACTGTGCCACCCAGCTATACCTTTGAGTGTAGGGACTGTCTTTTGCCTTTCTTTATATGCCCAGCACATAGCACAGTGCCTGGCACATAGCAGGTGCTTAATAAATGTTTATTGACTGAGATCTGCATTGATAAAAAAGGGTTTCATCATGCCTATGAAATTGCAGGTCTGGACTGAAAACCCACAACTTTCCAGGTACTGTGCATGACTCTGGGGATAGTCAGATGTGGAAAACAAAACAGTCTTTGCCCTTGGAGAACTTAGACTTTACAGAGAGGAAACATGTACACAGATAAATAAATACTGTTATTTCCTGGGGGCTGGGGAAGAGCTCAGCTGACTGGAGGGATCGGAAGAGGCCTCTGGTAGGAGGCATCATTGAGCTTGACCTTGAAGGGAACTAGCAGTTCTGAGGATGAGGGGCCAGTACATTCCAAGCTTGGGGGACAGCCTGTGCAAAGGCATTGAGGTGGAAGATGGAGTGTTGATTGAGGTGAACAACCAGAAGGCTAGTTTGGCTGGAAAAAAGCCTTTGGGAGGAGCACAGTGAAATCAGCCTGGAAAGGTCAGTTGGAGCAAGATTGGGATGGGCTTGAAAAGCCAAAGAGAGGAATTTAGGGGCAGCTAGGTGGCACAGTGGATAGAGCACCGGCCCTGAAGTCAGGAGGACCCGAGTTCAAATCTGGCCTCAGACCAAACACTTGACACTTACTAGCTGTGTGACTGTGGGCAAGTCGTTTAACCCCAATTGCCTAAAAAAAACCAAAAACACAAAGAGAGGAATTTGGATTTCATCTTTTGGGCAATGAGAAACCAATGGAGCTTTTGGAGTAGGGAAGTCACACAGTCCAGTTTGAGCTTTAGGAATTCCAATTGGATAGCTGTGTGGAGGAGGGAATAGAGATGGGGAGCAGGGGATGGGGGGAGACTGGAGACTGGGGGACCAATTAATAGACTCTTGAGATAGTCCAGACAAGAAGTGATGAGGACCTGACCTAGGATGGCCGTGATGTGAATGGAGATAAGGAGACAGGGCCGAGACATGTAGAAGACTATAATTACATAGGTACTGGGTACAGGGAAAACCAGATTCATAAAGTAAAATCTCTAGATAATGCCAAGATTGGTTCTAGGCTTGATTCTTGTCGGAGATCCCTGCCCTCCTTCCTTCTTGCCCCTCTCACTCTAGTCCACAGTTCCCAAGTGCTAATGTAGACTGGAGCAAACATGGTATGGTAGAAAGGACACTAGATTTAGGGTCCCAGGAGCCAGCGTGGTGGAAAGGGCACTGGATTTGGAGTCCCAGAATTTTGGTTCAAATTCCACCTCTCCCTTTTACTACCTGGATGACCTGGAACAAGTTATCTCACCTATCTGACCCTCAAATTTAGGGAATTGGACTATAGGCTCTTTCTAAAGCTCTAAATCTATGCTCCCAGAATCTCTTTGCCTGGCTTACTAAGAGAATTACAGAGGGAAGTTAACCCCAGGAAGGGAAACTAGACATCTGGGTAATCTACACATTGGGTTATTAGGCCCTGGATAATGGAGAATAGCCTATTCTGGGTTGATTCTGGGCTATGGCTGCAGGGGATTGACACCGTTTAACAGGAAGAGATCATTAGAATTTAAATTAAAAGTTAGAATAATTTAAAGTTAAAAAAAAAGGAGAAATATTAAGCCAGTGAATACAGCTGTGCCCTTGGGTTTGGGTCTGTGGCCTTTTGGACTAGGGCAAAGGAGATAGTTATGCAAGTGTTTGTGGCTTGGGGGATGGCTGTGAGAATCAGGTTATAGACTGGGGAGTGGTTCATTCAGTGCTCAGCATTTGACTGCCCTGTGTCCTCTCCCTGGCTTGGTTGGAACTCCTAGAGAGAAAGGATTCTGGTTTATTTATCTTTATCTCTCCCTTAGTGCCCAGTAACAGGGCTGGGGTGTTCATTAAAGATTTGGCACCACAGAACGAACATCAGAATCAAGAGACCTTAAAAACCATCTAATCCAGGGCTTTTTAACTTGGGGTCTGTGAACTTGTTTTTTTGATAGATAGATAGACACACAGTTAGATAGATTACATCAATAGAATTGGTTTCTTTTGTAATCCTATGTATTTTAATTTATGCATTTAAAAACATTCTGAGAAGGGGCCCTTAGGCTTTTCGTTAGAAGGTAAAAGGGGTCCATGATAGAAAAAAAAGGATAA